GATAGGACAGAGCACTAAAAACCTCAAACAAAGCACTGAAAAATAAAGCTGTTTGCTGTGTAGTCTGAGAATGAGCTGTTTGATTTGCACCCTCTTCCTCTTCACTGTCCTCCATAAAAACCAGCTATCCAGGTCCATGTTGTTCTAGAAAGTTTGTATGTTGCTGCCTCAATTAACATCTCTGCTATACATTTAAAACATGGCTATATCTAAAATAATTTATGTTTTTGATTTTTGTTATCTTGTTTTTCATGATTATATTTTACAACAATACAAAGAGCAATGTGTATTTTCCATTAATATAGTTTGTAATGGCTTTTTTTGTCATAGATTATAATCATATATTTTTTGGATTTGTTATTTATCTTTATAATGAAGTTGTCTGTATTAAGTAGATTGTGTTTAACACACACAAGAGTGATTTATTAGTTCAACACATAGTTATAGAAATTCTACTTTATCTAAAAAAAACCCTGCACTTTATACACACACACATAAATACATGTAAATAAAAATACCAAAAAAAACATCAAATGTGTTTTTAGTCAGAGTATTATTTTATACAGAAACAAATATTTGTAATTCAGATAAGAATGAAGTTAGTGTTTTAAAATCTTAAGGAAAACAAATATATTGAAATATAGCACATGAATTTTAAATTCATTCAACTTCAATTACAAATACAATCTTACTTTTATTTAAAGCAATCTATACATTTAAAAGATGGGGGTTATATGCTTATTTTGTCATTTAAAAATATTGTTATGCAAAATTGTTATGCAAAAAGACAAGGACTTAGAGACAAGGACTTGTAGGAAAAATCACAGCCAGCCACACACACACACATAAACACAGACAACAGCCCTCCCCTCCCCACACAGACACCCACACCCAGACACACACACACACACACACACAGAGAGAGAGAGAGAGAGAGAGAATCGCAGGGGAAATAAATCCATTCAAACTACAATATCTGACTTTCTGTTGCTCAGAGCGAATGACTTTAAATTGGAAAGTTGATCGGCTTGACGAGAACAATATACGTGGTAAGTTTTGTAACTGTAGGTAAATTGAGCAAAGTTATAACACACTTTATGTGTCCTTTTTTAGTCATAAAATTCATTTCCTCGCCACGGCCAGACCATTCGAGATATCAAAAATCCGTCCGGAATTGAGCATCCTCAATGTCTTGACTTCATGCACACCGAGTTTGGTTGTGATTGGTAAACACATGCGTTGTAATTTGATGTATTTCTCCTAGGAGAATTATTCAAACAACCCATAATTCCCAACTTCCTTCTCAAAACTTAGAGCACGAAAGTTGTTTGGCCTGATGTGATCTTTAATTGTACCGAGTTTCATATTAATTCATGCAAGTGTGTTTGATTTATGGACAAATTTTCGAATCCCAGTCCAGGGGGCGCTGTCGAGCCGCCCTGCCACGCCCGGTTACCAGCTTCAGCCCGGCCCTGATGGCCATGGGTTCTGACCCGTGTGCAAAGTTTCAAGAGTTTTAGAGGATGTTAAGGCCCCCGAAAATGCCAGAGAAGTTGCACACAGCAAATAAAGGGTTAAAATTAACCTGACAGGCGCCCCTCCTCTCACTCACACAGAGAGACACTGAGAGACTGGCAAAATTCTGAGATTTTCTCTACATTCAAACAAACATATCTGACTTTCTGTGGGTCCTAGCTAATGAGTGTCAATTAGAAAGTTGTCCGGCTCGAGGAGTACAATATACATACTGATTTTTGTAACTGTAGATAAAACTAACAACCCCACTTTTCTCAAAAGGTGGCGCTACTGAGCCCTCACCACACCCGTTTCTGAAACATTGCACATGTCTACTGGCTAATAAATGTTATGTGTCTGTCGAGTTTCATGCATTTTGAAGCATGCTAAGGGTCTCAAAAGCATCCTAAAAGCATCCTAAAAGAAGGGTAAAGTTTGATGCGTCGCCACGGCAACAGTTTCAAAGATATCAAGAATCCATTCACAGGTCTACATCTGCCGTATGTTTACATTATACATATGAAGTTTGAAGCAAATCGGGTAAAAATAAAAGGGTGATATCAAAGCATTTTGAAAGTGACACACTTCCTGCTGCCAGTTGGTGGCGCTATAACTTTGACTCACAATAGTCACATCCATGTGATCGTCCTCTTACAGCGAACACACTGCTGAAGTTTCATCAAGATCAGTTAATACATTTTGAAGTTATAACACACTTCCTGTTTCACGTTTCTCGCCATAATTTCGTTTCCTCGCCACGGCCAAACCGTTCGAGATATCAAAAATCCCCTCGCAAACTTTCATCCTCAATGCCTTGACTTCATGCTGACCGAGTTTCGTGCCGTGTGTTTGAATTCTCTAGGAGGAGTACTTCAAATTCCATTGCGAGTGTTTTATGAACAACCCTAAATAACCGACTTCCTGTTGGGCTGGGGTAAAAAGTAATAGTATGAGGTATAGATGAAACGATGAGATCAACATGTGTACCGAGTTTCATATTATTACATACAAGCGTGTTTGAGTTATGGACCAAGTTTTCGGACCCCGTTCCAGGGGGCGCTGTCTAGCCCCCCTGCCACGCCCGGGTACCATCTTCAGCCCGGCCCTGATGGCCGCGGGTTCTGACCCGTGTGCAAAGTTTCAAGAGTTTTTGAGCATGTTAAGGGCCCCAAAAGTGCCCGAATAGTCGTATAAATAATAATAATAATAATAATAATAATAATCCTAAGGAAAACAATAGGGCCTTCGCCCTTTCAGGGCTTGGGCCCTAATAATAATAATAGTAAAGAAAAATAATCCCAAGGAAAACAATAGGGCCTTCGCCCTTTCAGGGCTTGGGCCCTAAAAACTTATTTAAAAAATACCAGGCTTGAGAAATTTTTTTTTTCTTTATGCAGGTCATACACACAGCAGTGAAATGGTTAAGCCCCCTCCCCCTGCACACTCACACACACACACACAGACAGCCAAAGACACAGAGACACAGAGACATGTAGGCTCAGAGTGACCATATTCAAACAAAAATATCTGACTTTCTGTGGGTCCTAGCTAATAAGTGTAAATTAGAAAGTTGTCCGGCTCGAGGAGTACAATATACATACCAATTTTTGTAACTCTAGTTAAAACTAACAACCCCACTTTTGTCAAAAGGTGGCGCTACTGAGCCCTCACCACGCCCGTTTCTGAAACTTTGCACATGTCTACTGGCTAATAAATGTGATGTGTCTGTCGAGTTTCATGCATTTTGAAGCATGCTAAGGGTCTCAAAAGCATCCTAAAATCATCCTAAAAGAAGGGTAAAGTTTGATGCGTCGCACGGCAACAGTTTCAAAGATTCAAGAATCCATTCACAGGTCTACATCTGCGGTATGTTTACATTATACATATGAAGTTTGAAGCAAATCGGGTAAAAATAAAAGGGTGATATCAAAGCATTTTGAAATTGACACACTTCCTGCTGCCAGTTGGTGGCGCTATAACTTTGACTCACAATAGTCACATCCATGTGATCGTCCTCTTACAGCGAACATACTGCTGAAGTTTCATCAAGATCAGTTAATGTATGCTGAAGTTATAACAAACTTCCTGTTTCACGTTTCTCGCCATGATTTCGTTTCCTCGCCACGGCCAAACCGTTCGAGATATCAAAAATCCCCACACAAGCTTTCATCCTCAATGTCTTGACTTCACGCTGACCGAGTATCGTCGAATTTGGATCAAAGCTCTAGGAGGAGTATTCAAATACCATTGCGAGCGTTTTACAAACAAACCTCAATTGCCGACTTCCTGTTGGGCTGGGGTAAAAAGTAAAAGCGCGAGGTATAGATGAAACGATGAGATCAACATGCGTACCGAGTTTCATATTATTACATGCAAGCGTGTTGAGTTATGGACCAAGTGTTCGGACCCCATTCCAGGGGGCGCTGACGAGCCCCCCTGCCACGCCCAGGTACCATCTTCAGCCGGCTCTGATGGCCGCGGGTTCTGACCCGTGTGCAAAGTTTCAAGAGTTTTCGAGCATGTTAAGGGCCCAAAAGTGCCCGAATAGTCGTAAGAAAAATAATAATAATAATAATAATAATAATAATAGAAAAGAATAATCCTAAGGAAAACAATAGGGCCTTCGCCCTTTCAGGGCTTGGGCCCTAATAATCGTTAGGAAAACAATAGGGCCTTCGCCCTTTCAGGGCTTGGGCCTAAAAAAAAAAAAATAAATAATCGGAAGGAAAACAATAGGGCCTTCGCCCTTTCAGGGCTTGGGCCCTAATAATAATAATCCTAAGGAAAACAATAGGGCCTTCGCCCTTTCAGGGCTTGGGCCCTAATAATAAATAATCCTTAGGAAAACAATAGGGCCTTCGCCCTTTCAGGGCTTGGGCCCTAATGATTTAAGGGTCAAGAGACCAGCTAAAGCAAACACTGATCTCCATAATGGTGACTTAAAATTTCTGTTTTTCTCCTTCAGAGATTCTGCTTGTTGACATCAGGTGTCTTCAATGATGCTCAATCATCACTCAATTATTCACTTAATTATCTCATTAACTTTAACACTGCTTCAGTGTTCATTTAACACTCTGCTCAAGAGTTTATATAATTCTCACTTCTCTGTGTTAATTTAACACTGGGGATTTTGCTGTGTACGCAGCCCTGTGGTAAGTGGTGACTCTTTCTTACCCAAAAAAAGAGACAAATAAGAAAGGGAGTAGATTCATAGGAGTAGATTCAAAAGTATGCCCAGAAATGTATTCTCTGATCTTTTTCATGTTAGCAGATATTGTGAATTTGCCATCTACATGTATGATTACTGAAAACGTTTGTGATGAAGTGGATTAATCTATAATCAATTTAGTTAAATTAACACCATCTAATGGGTTAATCATTATTGTTATCTTAATGAATAATGTAGTGGCACATCTTTTGGTAACCTAAACCAAATAGTGATGGCACAGTCATGAGTTGTGTTGATGTTGAGTACATGTCCTCACCCACAGTCAGGCAGAACTGCAGGACGTGTACCGCTCCTTCCTCCTTCAGGAAACTCATGAAGCGGAACAACAAATCCTGCTGCTCTCTGATCTCCTTCAAATCCAACTTCAACACCTGGCGGGATAACAAATAAAAGAAATAACCTGTCAAGTTTTCAGAAAATTCCTAAACTTAAGAACTCAAAAAACACTGAAATGATATCGGAAGTACAGTGTGGAATTCATCAATTTTATTACTACACAGCAAAATCCCAAGAGTTAAAGCTGCAGTACGTAGTTTGTTTGTTTTTTGGAGTCAAAAATTATCCAAAATATGTATTTGACAAAGTACATAACCAGCCAGTGTTTAACACTCTCTGCTTGCCTTAGCTCGATTCAAAGCGGAAAGCTTGTAATAATGTTTTTAATTCCAGTGGGACTGGTGGATTTCCGGGAAATTCGTCTTTGCGTCATTATGTCACATCTGTACACATAAAGAAGAGTTTCAGCTAGTAGACTGTATTGTGTGTACAGGATGCTGGAGGTGAAGATTTATAACCTTTTCTTCGTGCTGTGCCGTGTTGAGGGTGTTGAAGTAAAACTCACGTAAAATTGATAATTCCGCGAAAGACTGCAATTGCAGATTTCGAACAGAGGTGGCGACAAAGAGGAAAAACGCCGTACTGCAGCTTTAAATTAACTCTGCTCAGAGTTCATATGGTCCCAGTCTAAAAAATGTCAACTCAGGTAAAGTGAATGAGATAATTAAGTGATTAATGAAGAGACATTGCGCATTATTGATGAACACCTGTTGTTAACAAGCAGAATTACTGAACGAAAGAGAAACAAAAGAACTACAACTGACTTCTAGGCACAGCCTTAGATGAAATCAAATAAATATAAAAGAAGACATTTGTGTTGCGATCTGGGAAAACCCGTCGGATGTCTTGCTGGTACGTTTTCAGTAAAGTCTAAATATAGATTGAATGTCAGTTTTTTGTCAAATTGTGTTTTTTATTCAATTATTATTCTATAACATCTTGTTTATCATCACTGAATACAACTTGGGAAAATTCACTAGTTTATTGCAGAAAAATAGCGATTTATAATGTCCAGTTGAAAAGACTGTGTTTCTCTTTAAGAACACGCACGCAGGCGGAGCGGAGGGGGAAACACAAATCTCCCGTTTAGCTCTAAAAAAGGCAATAAACTAAGGGAGCGCCAGTCGTCCCACTAGCAGGACGTGACCGTTAATTGAACCTGTTTTTCTCAAAATTCTGTTTCTGAAAATCACAGCGATCAGCCGACTTCAGATAACTATAACTTTTGTTACAGACAAACGATAAAATAAATAAAAACAGATTTGGAAAGGGCTTGAACCCAGCTTTAATATGGTCTCAAATTCTGTAATATGCCAAATTTCACCATGTGGTGGGTTTTCCCAGATTGCATCACATTTAATCTCTGAAGATCTCAGCAGAAGGTTTAAACAACTCCATAAAGAGCATTACTACATAAGTTGTTTTTAATAGAGGTTTTGATGTTTTATTAGAAATGTTTGGTCGCCACTATGGTGATCAGTGTTTTCTTTAGTTTGGCAGTTTCACTCTTGACTTTTTGACTGTGAGTTTATGATCTTTGTAACAGTGTTAACCAAAATACATCATTTGTTGCAAAGGACAAGGATATGATTTTACTCGTCCCTATATATAAAACTGTGCTGAAACGGGAAAAGGCACAGGTTATTAAGACGAAAGACTGGTCTGCAGAGGCTACGTCACGTTTAAAAGGGTGTCTGGATTGTACAAATTGGACTGTTTTTATGGACTCTGGCTCGGACATTGATCGAGTAACAGATGAAATTTGTAGTTACGTGACGTTTCGTGAGGACATGTTAATACCTGTGAAATCATTTAAGAAATTCCCAAACAGTAAACCGTGGGTTACAAAATCAATTAAGATTCTTCTGTCAAAAAGAAATAGGGCTTTTAAAGAGGGAAATATCGTTGAGCATCATAGGCTAAAAAGAGAAATTAAGGGTGAAATAAAGAGGGCTAAAACAGTATATACTGTAAGGAACATCTTGAGTTCAAATTGAAAGAGGGGAATTTAGGTTCAGTCTGGGAGGGGATGCATGTAATCACAGGTCAGGATAAGAGGAAAATAAATAATCCAATTAGTTTAAACGGATTCAGATCAGATGCAGCTTTATCACAGGAATTTAATACATTTTATATGAGATTTGAGGCGTATGATTTCAAATCTAAAAAAAAGTGTTGGATAAATAGAGAGTTTGGTTGTGTCCCTTTTGACGTAGGGGATGTGATAACAGTGTTTAAACAATGTAAAATTAGGAAGGCTCCGGGGCCTGATAATATAGGAGGATGTTTACTTAAGAAATGTGCTGAGCAGCTAGGACCTATATTTTATAACATTTTTGTCTGGGCCCTACAAATACAAAAAGTACCTGCACGGTGGAAGCAGTCTACTGTTATTCCATTGAAAAAAAAAGCAAAATGCACAGATGGTAGATGATTTTAGACCTGTGGCGCTTACATCCTTAGTGATGAAATGCCTAGAGAAATTATGAAAAAGACTGAGTTTTTTAGACCCTCTTCAATTCGCCTACAGAAATAAACGAGGTGTAGAAGATGCTGTTGACACTCTCTTACATTTAGTATTTCAACGTTTAGAGAAGCCGAAAACTTTTGTCAAATTACTTTTTATTGATTTTTTCATCTGCTTTTAACAATATTCAGCCACATATTTTAGTTGATAAACTTATCAAGGAATTTGGGTTGGATTTCTATTTGGTAGGATGGATTTTAGATTTCCTTGTACAGAGAAGACAGAGAGTCAAAGTAAACGACTGTTATTCTGAATGGTTGGTGTCATCCACTGGGTCACCTCAAGGATGCGTCCTCTCTCCTTTATTATTTATTCTGTACACCAATGACTGTAGGAGTGGTTTTAGTAATAGGCACATCTTAAAATTTGCTGATGACTCTGTAATTGTTAGCTTATTGAGTGAGGAGGATCCAATGCATGGTCCTGTGGTTGATGACTTCGTTGCTTGGTGTCAAAATGTCTCGAAGACTAAAGAGATGAGTATTGATTTTAGAGTGAGAGGGAAATTGATTGATGATAAGCAAATAAGTATAAATGGAGAGGGTATTCAGAGTGTTGAACAGTACAAGTACTTGGGTACTGTGTTAGATCGTAATCTGAATTTTTCCGCAAATACTGATGCCTTGTGTAAGAAGGCACGGCAAAGGTTGCATTGTTTGCGAAAATTAAGGTCTTTTAATGTGGATAAAACATTGATGTGTATGTTTTATAGATCCTATATTGAGTCGTGTATATCCTATTCATTGTTGTGCTGGTTCAATTCTCTGAGTGTGAAAAATAAAAATCGAATTGAGAGGATAGTAAATCAAGGAAATAAAATAACGGGGAGGAAGCAAATGACCATGGCTCAGTTATATGTAGGGTTGGGTATCGAGAATCGAGTATCGATTGGAACCGAGACTAACTTTTCGTTTTTCCCGGAATCGTTCAAAAGTAAAAATTTCGATTCCTAGTTTCAATATTCACAGTCCGCCGAGCGGAAGAGGAAACCGCTGAACAACACCAACTAAGAAGCGTCTACCGGAAGTGTTGGCATAACCGCGCGAGTCGAACATGAGTAGCTTACGTCGATGATCCAAAGTGTGGCTTCACTTTTCTAAAAATAACGAAATCTCGGCAAAATGCAAAATTTGTGACAAAAGGAGTATTTTTACAGAAGGAGTATTTCCTTCAGAAAGGCCGTTGGTTAGCAAGGTTAGCTAAACTTTTTTGACCCTGCCTCTTAAAAGAATCGGAATCGAGAATCGTTAGGAATCGGAATCGGAATCAGAATCGTTCAAATTCAAATGATACCCAACCCTAGTTATATCAGAGACAGGCTTTGGGTAAAGCACAGAACATTCTGTCTGAAGTTTCTCACCCCCTCTACTATGAGTTCGAACTTCTTCCGTCTGGTAGTCGGTATAGAATGCCGCTTAGTAAAACGAATCGTTTTAAAAATTCATTTGTTCCATCAGCTGTAAAGTTTTTAAATTCTATGTAAATGTATTTATTTGTGAATGTGTATGACAGTGTTTTTTATGTGTATGCCTTCAGGAAATGAATAAAGATGAACTGAACTGAACTGAAGGACACCATGAACAAAGATGGTGATATGGTTTTCAACATCACTGGATAGTTTTCACTCGTCTTATCCCTGAGAGAGAGATAAGGCCTATCTTCACCATGAATACATATTTGCAATAGATCAAACATTCTGCATTTTGATTTTCAAATACACTGTGGGATTTTTCTTTAGGCATAGAGACATCAATAATCAGTATATGAATATCAACAATGGTGTCTTGCTTCATGCTGAAATGCATCCATTGTGGCATGAAGCATATCACCATTATTGAGATTCATATGCTGATTCTTGATGTCTGTATGAAATCCCACAATGCTTTTTAAAAAAAATCAAAATTCAGAATCTCTGATCTGTTGCAAATAGGTATTGTGGTAGATTTTTCCCTAACATAAACCACGTCCTATAAGACGGCGCATCTACTCGTCGACTACAGCCGAGTCCCCAACCTATACTCATACTTACTTGCTTCCCTAAAGTGACCTGCAGCGCAGCAGACAGGCCTCAGTAGATGTCCTCCAAATGCTTTAATTACGGCTGGGAGATCTTTCCGAGCAGTTCTCAGGAAATCTCCCAAAAAGAAACAAGGCCAGTGGATCTCCATTGAGAATACCACCAGCAAATACAACAGTTTGGCAAAATTACATTAAACATTACATAATCATAGACAACCCCTCTTGTTACCAGGTTACCAAAAGGTTTCAATGTTAGACATCGGTCTAGTTTCATTTCCCATATTTGTTATTTTTACACTCACACAACCAAAGTCATGAGTTTTCACTAGTTTCGAACACTACATTTTGTTCAAATTTTAGGATGCCTAAAAGGGAAGTAAGGTAAGAATTAGTCATAATATTAGACCCAAAGGGGAAGTCAAGTAAAAGTTTATCATAAGGGTAGATCATCCTTTTAGAGTCAGAAACATGACTAGTTCATGTATCTATCTATTAAAGATCCACCATAATATTCATTGTAAATATAATCTATTAAATTGTAAAAAATAACCTTTTTTTGGTCAGGAATACGATTAGTGAATTATTCTCAGAGGTGTATAGTAACGAAGATGAATTTAATACTTTTACTTCTATATTTTTTTTAATGTTCTGCTAGTTACAATTGTAAAAATTTTACGAATCATTCGTTGCAAGTTGGCTTTCGTGTTGCTTAAATCACACGCCAGTTTTATTGGGTAATGGTATTGATTGACACACACATTGACAACTAATGCAGGGGTTGTCCTGCAATGACATTTTTTTGGCGGTCGCCAAATCAAATTTGTATCCCGCCAAAGCGCCTCATTTGATTGCTAGTTCAATATTTTGACTGCTTTCTTTAATAATTACAAGACACAATACTTGTACTTTTACTTTTAGTATTTAAGTAGTGAATTTTAAAATAAACTACTTGCAATACTTAAATACAAAAAAATTTGAATACTTTAGTACTTCTACTTGAGTGTGGTGCTTAAAGAGCACTTCAACTTCTACTCAAATAGAGCACTTGTACTTTTACTCTCAAGTCCGGGTTTCTAGTACTTTATACATCTCTGATTATTCTACTTTCTGATGCTGAAAAACGTATCAGCTGATCATCTTTGTTTCATGGCATCCTTTGCAACACATTTTGTGTTTTGGTAAACACCATAAACTCACAATCCAACTGCCCAACTAAAGGAAACACTGATCACCATAATGGTGACTTACAACAAACATCAACATCTAAACCTCTGTTAATTCTCAAAAAGAACCGTAGTTGTACGAGAAATCAAGTCAAAAGTATTTATTTATGAGAAAAAGTCAGTCGAGATTTAATGTCTTCTTTTATCTTCCATTGATTTCATTTAAGGCTATGGCTGGAAGTCAGTTGTAGTTGTTGTTTCTCTTTACTTCAGTGATTCTGCTTGTTACCAGCAGGCGTTCACTAATGCTCAATGTCGCTTAATTATTCACTTAATTATCTCATTAACTTCAACTCTGAATCAGAGTTACTTTCACTTTCACACTTAAGCACCATGTCAAGGTGACATAAGTTGTACATACCGAGGATTTCTTGTTGCGTGGATCTGCAAACTTCTCCAGGAAGGGCACCAGAGCAGATGGAGGATCATAGATTGGCTCAGGCTAGCAGAAAAATTACACAAAAATATGGAACAAAAAAAAAAAGCACATTATTAAAACACATTTGGCAGGAAAGGCTGACTGAACAGTCTGTTATTGATTTGTTTGAACCACTCACTGGACTATCATCGATGAAGATGAGCACCATGTGATTTACAGTGTCCTGCGGAAAAATATGTGATTTATAGATTGGATAAACAACTACAAGATTCACACACAGAAAAACAACTTATGTATACGTGTATATGTATAACAAATGCAGATATTAATGCATAAAATAAACAGGCAAAATGACATTTGTAACCAGTTACACTTACAGGATCAGCCACAAAGTCCATTATTGGCAGAAACACAGAACCTGTCATGACCTCTCGAATCAGCAGGGCCAAAGACCTGAGAGTGAATCACAGAGGAACATCAACTGACCCTCATCACACTTTCCACGCAGTAATCCACGCCTAGAAACCTTACTGGTAAAATCATTAGGATGGTTCTCAAATCACTATAAATGGTTGTATCTTTGTTATACATTGCTGTAGGGTCAGTACGATATCTTAAAGAAATGAATTATTTTATTGACCAAGGATGCGTTAAATTAATCATGTAGACTTTTACATGATTACAAAAAAACATGGTTCTAATAAATGCTGTCCTTTGATTAACTTTCTATTAGAAAAACAGTTATCACACAACAAAGCTGAATTTTCAGCATCATCACTCCAGTCTTTTTAACAGAAACATTTCTTGTTATTATCAATGTTGAAAACAGTTGTGCTGCTTCACAAAAGCAGCTTCAAAAAAATATGAAGCAGCAAATCTTTGGCAGCAAATCAGAGCATTAGAAGACTGGAGTAATGATGCCGAAAAACCAGCTTTGTTGTGTCGTTGTTCTAGTGCAACTTCACGTGATCAACAAGGTGCATGGAAAGAAGAAACTAAGTTATTTTTGGAGAATATCAGCAACAGTTGTGATGTCAGGCGGTCAGAACAAACAAAACAGGCCTTCATCAGGGCTAAAAGGTTACAGGTGTTCATAGGTTACAATAAATAATGGATTATTTCCTCCAGTTGAGACAGTTCAGATGATTGAAATAGGATTGGAATCACTTCAAAAACGACATAAGGCTACATAACATTAGAATGAGATATAATATATATAATTGTGTGCTTCGGACATGGCTTTTAATGGTGACACTTTTGTTTTTGTAATAAAAATTATATACGAATTTGAATTTAGATATATCGGCCAATGTATCGGTTATCAGCTTTCAAATATCAAGAATTATCGGTCATCGGGCAACATTTTTTATAGTGGTTGTTTGCGAGTTTTATTTTGTCCTTTTTTGTACTGAAAGGAACTAATGTTCACCCTATAACCTTTTAGCCCTGATGAAGGCCTGTGCACCGAAACGCGTTGGCAAAATTATAAGACAGCATTACTTTTTCAGCTCCATGTTTTGTTTGTTCTGACCGCCTGACGTCACAACTTTTGCTGGTATTCTCCAAAAATAACTTAGTTTCTTTATTACATTACATTTTTCAGAAATTTTAGCTTTGCCATCATTGAAATATGTTGAAATATAAAATATATTTGAACAGAAAAAGAGTTATTTAAAATTGTAATAATAGTTTTACAAAATGTCTTATTAAAGGGGTCATGAACTGGCTTTTTAAAAAAAAATTATATTGTTGTCTGAGGTCAACTTATGACGTTCGCTTGGTTTTTACATTCAAAAACATCAAAATGAATAAGTAATAGGCTATTTTCTAGCCTACCTAAAAAACGCTGGGTTTTTATGTGCGTCTCGCACTGAAGACTTGGAAGTAAACGCCCACTGCTGTGATTGGATAACAGTTTTACATATTATAATGAGTTTCACTCTGGACCCGGTTTGTCATCATGAGGTAGGCATCTATGTTATTTATCTATGTGTGTAATGCATGAATCGGTGGGCGGGGCTAAACCGGCCGTTGATCTTCTTCTCCGGGGGTGGTGTTTTAACCTCTTTGACGTCATACTTCCCCACTTTGAAAAACGAGTCGTTTTCTGAGCCTGGTGTCAATAAAAGCTTTTATTGGACTAACAAGGACGTTTTCAGTTCTAAACTTATAGGATATTCTTATAGTATGATGATGATGACCTCTTAGATGTCAAAAGCTCAAGGAAAATTTGATTTCTCAGTTCATCACCCCTTTAAATGCAGCCTTGATAAGCATAAGAGAAAAACTTCTTCCAAAAACATTTTAACCCGAAGGGTTTGAAGTATGTTGTGTTTGGCGTGAGGTGTACCTGCAGTCTGTGGCTCTCGGCGGCATGACGTAAGGAAACAGCAGTTCTGTGAGTTTCCTCAAGTACAGCAGCTCATCTTTGCGGCTCCGCAGGGCCACATGCAGATCGGCACCGTACTCAGCCAGAGCTGCTTGCTGGAGGCTCTCGGTATTCTTCACTGATCACACACAATTTAAACAAAGTAACATTATAAAAAATAACTAATTGAAATGATGGAAAACGTCATTTATACTCCTATGAGTTACGATCGAAATGCTCCATAGGCGACAATAGGATTGGAAGTTAAAAAGACCCGTCTCTTCCTTTCCATTTATTTGTTTAGTTTTAATTCTAGACCTAATCTCTCATATTTTATGATTTCATCACAGGACGCACCTTTCTGCTGTGCTTTTGCCATGATCTCAATGTGCTTCATAGCCGCTTTCATCATTTTGTCCATCACAAGTGAGGGCACATCCACCTGCAAGACCATTTTAGTCAGAATGCCACTTTACAGGTGTACTGTATGTCAACTCTGATATCTGTGTCAATAGAGTCAATGTACCCTTTGTGCTCGGTGAGCCAGAACTGCAGCAAAGAAACGGATCGTTTGTCTCAGTTCATCCACACACGCTTCATCATCTGTAATATCTCTGATTGTAGATCATCAAAAAAGAGAGAAAAAATTAATTTCCCCAGCTAAAACGTTGTGATAAAAGCAGCTTTTGCATTAAAAGCAGCCATACCTGTACCATGGGTACACAAAGTTCTCGAGAACTAACTCCAAAACCTGAAGATCAGTCAAGCAAAGTATTTATTAGTCAGTTAGTATGAATTTGCTTATATAATATATAATTTTCCTAGTGACTGGGGTTGTAGCTTTACCTCTGAAATACTGGCATCCACTTTGGACGACACCTTTAAGTCCAGCCATGGCTGATAGTTCTCCAGCAGAAGGGTTGGCCTTTGGAAGAGAAACACAAATACTTTATATAGATACATTTACATCATTATTTAATCAAAAAGGTTTCACAAGCAGAATTGATGTTGCAGGGTGGGGCCGAGAGCCGTGGGAACAGAGCGAGGCTGGAGGCATGAACACCGGTCTTATACAGAAACAATATTTGTGACCTAAACATTTCGAACTAAACTGCCAGTGTGAAAACCCCCTTAATTAAAGGAGTAGTTCACTTTTGAAAAAACTTTTGCTGATAATTTACTCACCCCCATGTCATCCAAGATGTCCATGTCTTTCTTTCCTCAGTTGAAAATAAATTAAGGTTTTTGATGAAAACATTCCAGGATTTTTCTCCATATAATGGACTTCAATGGGAACCAGACAGTCCAAGGTCCAAAAGACAGTTAATAACAGTTTCAGATGCAGCTTCAAATGTCTTCAAAACGAAACCAGACGATGAATAAGGGTCTTATCGTGCGAAACGATCGGTTATTTCAAAGCTTATTCCAAAAATGTAACTTTTCTAAGGACAAATGCTAGCCTTGCCCTATTCTGTGAGGCGCGTTTGTAACGTCACGTAATACGTAATTACGTTCAAAAGGTCACAGGCGACGTAGCCGGAAGTACAGAATCAAAATCGTCCGACATCGTTGTTTTACCTTTTAATTCCTTTTTTTGTAAACGGCGTTTGAGTTAGTTTGCACGTTCAACCTATGCGTTCAACTTGTAAACACTGACCGGCTACGTCGCCCGTGACCTTTTGAACGTAATTACGTATTACGTGACAAACGCGTTGCGCATGATAAGACCCTTATTCATCGTCTGGTGTCATTTAAAGACATTTGAAGCTGCATCTGAAACTGTTATTAACTGTCTTTTGGACCTTGAACCATCCGGTTCCCATTGAAGTCCATTATATGGAGAAAAATCCTGGAATGTTTTCATCAAAAACCTTAATTTCTTTTCGACTGAGGAAAGAAAGACATGGACATCTTGGATGACACGGGGTGAGTAAATTATCAGCAAAAGTTTTTTATTTTACTGTTGAATTGTTTTTTTGGTTTTGTTTGTTTGTTTTGTTCGCGTTCAAAAGAAAAAAAGATTGTTGTTTGGAGGTGTGGCTCAGAGATAGTCCAACATATAGCCACTTTCCAGTCAAATGCATTATACAGATAGACAACAGAAGCCCAGATGTAGTTTTTCTCCTCGAGTCCGAGGCACTCCTCTGTTTGGTCTTGAGACCAGTGGGCGACACAGCTGTTATTTGTTCCCACTCATTCCCAACCTCGCCCTGCTTGCATATACATTAGGAGCAGCATTTTAATCAATGACACTGAAATATGGGAGAAGGGTTTAGATACTGTCAGGAGGGAAATAATGTAACAATGTGAACTAAAACCATAAAACTTTCATTTTTTTCATTTTAAACATAATGAGATCATACCTGTGGCGTGTGCACTGGTTTTTCCCACATACTGCACAGCTGTGGCCCAGAGGGAATAATTCCTGCTGTTCCTGTGGCTAAAGATACACAGATATAAAGTATTTTACTTATAAATACAGTACAGACATAAAAAGAGTCTCCAATGAAATCTCAGGTAGTATAATCTTATCCAAGTGCTTGCATTACTTTTTAACTAGTGGTCAATAGAGGTTTCTGATATAGAGAGCAGGCCATTCAATATAATGCAGACCAGTATGAATGAAATGAAAAATGAACACTTATTTTAGACAATATACGCTCCAAATTCACAGAAAAAAAAAGAGCAGAGGTAACACTTATCCAATTGGTCAATTGGCAAAAATATCGGTCCTCAATATATCCAATGTATAGTTCCGGTCCTCGAATCTGATTAGCTTCTGTCATATTGCCCATTTATCGCTATTTATTATATTTGTGATCTGTTGGTGGAGTTGGTCCATCTTAATAAGGAAAAAAAGGGTCTGAGCTGAGTCTGAGCTGACTGTAGCCAAAATTATGATACCAAAATTATAGATTTTACTGGTTGGTTATGGATAAGACCATGCAATCTGAGATCATAGCATGTGATGTGTAATGCTCACCAGAGATGTTTAAAATTATGGTTGGTTGATTGAGTGCAAAAAAACATAGGTAGGCTTTTATAGTTTGGTGGAAGTGTCGTAGACATGCCTGAAAATTCCCAATATAAGCGGCGTATTAAGAGGCTTAATGATGAACTGAAAGAGCTGCCAGAACAAAAAAAAGTTAAGTCCAAGGACGTTTATTTATGTAGTTTAATTTATTTATTTGTTGTGTTTGTGTCTAGATGGTGCGTTTTAGGATTTCTGCTGCCATTGCATGTACTTCACCGTCTCTATAATTTTTTTAATTTAAAGTAATTACTGTTCTTGCGAAGAGTGATTTACGAGGACACATGATGCACATAAACACAGAGGTTTGCATACAAACACATTCCTTTCTCTTGCCTTAAGACGCTGCAATATCCACACTGTTTGCTTCTGGTTTTGTTGAAGATGTTGCTCAAAAGTTTTTCAGTTTTTTAGGGAGTTAGGGAAGGGAGGGGACTTCACTCCCAGTGATATGTACTCCCAGTTGTTTTTGTGAAGAGCTGGAGGCGGGTGAGTAGTCTCTCGGCTTTAATGATGTTGCAAGCACAAATCTTGCATGTGTGCCGTGAAAAGACGCAGACTCTGAGGGACAGCGTTTGTGAGCTCAATTACTGTGTGAAATGCTCCCCCAGTTTCCTCTCAGTGTCCAGCTGCCACAGTTGCATAAACATAGCCAATGTGTCTGTGCCTCAAGTACTAGTATGACAAACTCATGATTAGTCAAGAGGAAATGAGTGTTACTTCTTGGTTCCAAATTAAACCAATCTACGTTTTTACATACTTGACCAGTTGAACAATGCGATGGCAAACTTGTAAGACTAGACCATGCATGTGCAGTCTAAGCCAAACTCATATACAAACTTTGACTCTGACCAGGAAGAGGAAAAGGATGCCTCTGCCTTCCTGCCTGAGATAATATGGAGCCTGATGAACCCGACAGCGCCCCCTCGTGGTCAGTAGCAGCACTAAAAAGTGTGAGGATGGAGAGGAAGCTAAGATTTATTACAACTAATTACCAGACCTAAACTCACACAAAGAGTAGATGCAAAATCCCTTTAAGACCGACTGACATGTTATTATCATTTTTATTTTTTATTATCTTTTAAATTATCTTTTTTTTTTTATCAGGCTCCCATGTTTAGGTTCAGTAATTCCACTTTAATGGCACTGAAAAGTTTATTAGTCAGTTATTGAAATGCCTGATTTAAAAAAAATAATAATAATTAATTATTATTGCAAAAATGTAACCATCTTAAACTTAGTCCATTTGTGCTTCTTTTTTTTTTTTTGCAAAAACTTCCAAGTCGACCTCTTTGGACAACAAAACATACTGTATTAAAAAGTTGTAGATTCACTATAGACAAATGAACATCCAGAATTCAAAATGAAAGCATGAAGAAACTCTGATGTGTGTGATTTCCATGTCCGTTTCTGTCAGTTTTAATCTGCGTTCACACCAGACGCGAATTGCGCGTCAAATTCGCGGCTGACGCGTCTAGTTTGACGCTTGACCACTTTGTGTTAATTCGCGTGTCAAGAGTGAAACTGACGCGCGTAAAACAAAAGTTTGAAGCGAAATTTTACGTGCGTGACGCGCGTCAGAAACAAAAGTTTGAAGCGAAATTTACGTGCGTGACGCGCGTCAGAATCGAAATCCAGTGGCGGCCATTGTTTTTATGTCGACCGAGCATTCATAAGAGAGTTACCGCTCTGTATTTACTCTGGAGAGCAGAACAGCGGCGTGGGGATCAATCGTCGCCGTATATCCAGCCCGATCTCATGAAAGTTTCGTATCTATGGCACGAATGTCATTTCTCGTGGCATTTTATACGCCAAAAGCAGTTTTTGCGTGTACATGGCACGCGATTTTCGCGTACATATGATACGCACTTTTTTGCGTAAATA